AAGGAGCTACAATGGAGACTGTAGGGCTTTCTGCCGGATGCAGGGTCCCAGGCGTAGGGTTTAGGGCTTTCCCCCTAAACCCGAAACCTTAGAAACCCTAAACCCGAAACACTAAACCTTAGAAACCCTAAACCCTAAACACTAAACCTTAGAAACCCTAAACCCTAAACCCTAAACATTAGAAACCCTAAACCCTGAGCCCTAAACATTAGAAACCCTAAACCCTGAACCCTAAACCCTGAACCCTAAACCCAGAAACCCTAAACCCTAGAAACCCTAAACCTTAGAAGCCCTAAACCCTGAACCCTAAACCCTAGAAACCCTAAACCCTGAACCCTAAGCCCTAGAAACCCTAAACCCTAGAAACCCTAAACCTTAGAAACCCTAAACCTTGTGCCGGGGGACGCCCTCAGCTTGGAAGACTTCAGACAGCAAATCCCGGATCACGAAGTCCTGAAGCGTGGGTTTTTTAGGCTTTTAGGGGGTTTAGGGCTTTAGTGCTCCAGGGCTCCAGGGTTTAGGGTTGAGGGGTTCAGGGGTTTGGGGTTTAGGATGGTTTAGGGCCTTAGTGCTTTAGGGCTCTATGTAGGGTTTGGGGTTGAGGGGTTCAGGGGTTAAGTTTAGGGGTTTAGGGTTGAGGGGTTCAGGGGTTTGGGGTTTAGTTTAGGGGTTAGGGTTTAGGGTTTTAGGGTTCAGGGCTTTAGGGTTTCGGGTTTAGGGTTTTGCATCATTCCTCTACAAAAACTGGGGCGGCTTCAGGTTTAGGGTGTATAGTTTAGTGTTTGGACACTTCTATGATTCGGCTCCAATGCAATACAGCCTATTTTAGCTAACGCCCTAAAACCTTAAGCCAAACCCTATTGTGGAGTCCAAGACTATGATAAATCCTGAACCCTACAAAGAAACTTGATAAACCAGCAACAACAACCATAACACAACCTCAAACCCTAACCCTGAACCCTAAACAAGACTGAAACACCAGACCCTCACAAAGAGGACTGGTTCGATATCCTCCTCCTCGAAGGAGACCACTCGGCCGCGCAGACGATCGAGGGTGTGTAGGGCGAGCTCCTAGGTTCTCTCCAAGGTGTTTGTAGAATTTTATAAGCGGGTTTAGGGTTTAGGGTTTAGGGTTTAGGGGTTTAGGGCTTGTTGAGTTTACGGACTTATGGGTTTAGGGTTTAAGGTTTGTTGGGCTTAGGGTCTTGTGGGGTTAGGGTTTAGGGTTTGTTGGGTTTACGGTCTTATGAGTTTAGGCTTATAGGTACTAAATTTACGCTTTATGCGGTCTCTGGGCGATGCGCTTAAGGTTTAGCACGGAATGTACAAAGGCTTCTCCAAGGTAGGTATATAACAAGGTTCAGAGGGTTTTACCCAGCTCTGAGAGGGCTGTATACTGACGCTTGAAACAAGGACTTACAAGTTTTTTGGAAGCTTCGACGGAATTGTAAGAAGGGACTCTACTCCAGTCCTTTTGTGACTGACCCTAAACCCTAAACCCTAAACCCTAAACCCTAAACCCTAAACCCTAAACCCTAAAGTCGGGTTCGTGACCTATGGCGGTCATCAGCGTCGGGCGACGGCTCCCCAAACCCTCCAAGAAGGACCCTAAAATGAGCAGTCAGAGAACTACCCGCTCTCCAGCGTCGAAGAGGCGAGTGAATCTAGAAACCAACAACTCCACACTGAACTGCAAGTCAAAACCGAAGCCTTACTTCAGGGTCCTTGGTGTGGGGTCCTTCACACCCATGTTGCAAGACTAGCCCCGCAACCAAAACCACAACATCTCTCAACCCTTTGAGCCTTAACAGCGCTGAACAATTGAACGCCACACAGTCCCAGAATAAAGGCTGAATGCCTCCAGTTGACGGATTTGCCTGTCTGGCACGGATGTACTACTCACAGCACTCCGGCACCCATACCACTCCGTAAGCCCTGATCCGTTGGCCCGAAAGAGTCTTTGCAACGCGCGGAAAGTACATCCTTCAAGCGCTAGGCCCAGAACACCCATGATCCCAAAGTCATACTGCGTCGCTGAGCCTCCAACGCCAAAACACGAACCCAACACCGAAATCCTAAACCTTACCAACCCTAAACGCTAAACTCTAAACCCTGGCCCGAAAGAGCTTGACTTGCTCAAAATTTACCTCTCTGACGGAAATCACCTGGTCAATTTTCAGGACCACTCTAATATTAAACCCTCAGGAAAAACCCAAATCCCAAAACCGTCCAACCCCTAAGAAGTCCCTAGGCAGGCCTTCAGCTCAGTATTTTTCAGCTTGTCCATCTGCTCAGCGACCTGCTGTTGTCTCTCATAGAAACCTTATGCACGCGTTTAGGGTTTATGGCCTAGGGTTTAGGACTCTATACTTTCACTTCGCCGCTTTTTTGAAAGGGTACTACAAGGGTCCAGGGCTTACTGTAGAAGGGCATGGTAGTATCAAGGTTGTGTACTATAAGGTTGCTATAAGGCTTATGACATTAATGGTTACTAATCCCCAACCTGTCAGGCCTCAGACACCTTGGGCCTCTAGAGGATTGCTGTAGTTCGTCGGATCTTTCGTCTTGGCCGGCCTGGAAGTACCCCTAAACCCTGAACCCTAAACCGCTTCGGTACCATTCGCAGGCGTGCTGGCCCGGGGACAAGGTCCTTTCAAACTTGCATGCGTCGAGCCTGTGATCCTCTGCCCATCTAGGCTAATGCTAACGCCACCAAAAATCCTCGCTGCACGCTGCAGGGCGTCTACCCCCGCCAGGCTGATCTTGGTGGTCCTCAAGTTCAGCTGCTGCACGCTGGCAGTCCTCTCCAATGCCTCGGCGATTGCAATTGCCTCTGCATCACCCAGATGGCAATTGTCCAGGTGGATGTCTGCAGCTCCAGACTCCACGATTGCCCGCGCTCCTTCACAGCCCAGTTTCGTGTCGCGTACAATTACCGTCTCCAAGTGGGCGAAATACGGCAGGGCTGCACACAGGACTGGTACTTGCTCACCGGCCAACTGAAGATTAAGTTTTATGGTCTCCTGTGCCTTTTGCATAAAAATTTTCTCCTGCAACTCCTTCACCAGTGAGGAGTCGTCGCGGTGTGTGAACTTGCAGTTGTCCATGCGCTGGGAAAACAATGCAGGAGGGGTGGGCACTCGTTGCGCGAATGTTGCACGCAGGCTCGCCCATTCCTGTTCTGCTTGGCACCATCCTCGTTGATCATAAGGAACACGATTCATCAAAAGGCTGTCCACTGTCAGTGGCTCCACACGCGAATAATTTTCGCTGTATACTGCTATGTGACGGCCCCGCTGCTTCAACCGCACAGCGTCTGGGGTCAAGTCGCTCAGTATCTCAACCTTGACATGCTCATGCGCGTACAAAACATGCATCGCTGACAATGCTCTCTGGAAGATGTGGCTTTGCGTATTGTCACGTGGGTACTGGTAAAGGCAAGGGAAATCGATAAACAACCATACTTCGGATCGTTCACCCTCCATATCTCGAAAGCGACGTATCGTCTCGTCCAGCTGGAAGTTCCAGGGGTCCGGGTGCTCACGGCTTTCCCAACAATGCGACACCGATCCAAAATGGATCAGCTTACCTGACCTGCTGTAGAAGCCCCGCCGCGCGCGTGTACCTTGGCTCTGAATCTCGTGCAGCTCCCCCATGGTGACTAAGGCGGTCTCGCCGCTTTTGAGGACTGCGTTCTCAGCCTCTTGGCGGCGCGGCCAAGGAAGTCCAGACTCTTGCAGCTCCAGTAAGTACGCCAAGCGAACCAGCCGAACATCCCCTTGCACCAAATACTGGACCAAAGCCAACGGATCTTTGAGGCTATACTGGATGGGCGTGTCTTCTGCACCTTCGTCAGGCACTGGAGCTGCTGGCACGAAGTACTGGACGAATGCTGGTGGATCGTAGGACCAACGGACTATGAGGCAGCATATGGCAAGCAGATATAGAGGCAACCAAAAGCGGAAGTTGGCTGCGACTGTCTCCCAAACAGACGGCTGCTTGTACTCCAGCGCCCAAGTCGTCGCTTCCTCTGACACTTGGGAACTGGTCTAAACCTGACTCATGCTTGGGGACCTACCTTGAAACCAGGGTGTCCAACAGCACCTAATTATGTTGTTCACTTTCGTGAGACTTTGTCGGTTCTGTTGTTTTGCTAGGCTTCTGCTCTTCCTTTAGGGGCTTTCTCAATGCAGCCCTTTGACATAGAAAATGCCGTAAACATCGCACGAAGATGCTGCCCTCGCTGCTGAACTAAACGACACGTCTTGTAGCAGGGGTTGCGGTTTAGCTCTCCGGTTGGAGGGTTGGGTGCCGTTTTGCTTGGCGTTGATGACTGTCACTATGGGCTCCTTCTGACCCTGCTTCAGCGGGGCGCCGTGAAGGCAGTTCCGCACGGCAATGGCCGCGAAGATGTGGCCTTTAATTTGTGTGCAAGAACTGAAAACCCGGGATTCCGTTCACCAACCAAACTACAAACATGTCTGTCACGGTCTTCTGTACTTTCTTGCAGAACAGTGTTCTTCAAAAAACTGGGTTCAAACAAGGCCAAGTAGCGGAAGGAGGCCAGAAAACCTGCGGAGGAACCGACCAGCGTATCCAGCTGGCCGTACCTGGATCGGCACTACCGTCAGCAACCGGAACCCTCTTTTTAGGTTGCTATTACAAAACCGTATAAAACCAAATGACACATTATTGACTATCTTACCCAACCAGAACCCTTGCTGCTGTAGGCTCATATTACAAAACCATATAACCATATATAGAATTTGTAGCGACCCTAGAAAAAAGGAGGGTTCTGGTTGGTTTCCGGATTCAGGAGTTTCGGGTTCCGGGTGCCAAAATGCAGTGTAACCATCACAATTTCATCTGTTTCTTTAAACAGTTTTAATAGCAAAAATTTAAACAAATACAAGGAACAGCTAAGTTGAGAGTTCCCCTTAGGAGGAGCCTAGGAAGCCCGAATCGGTAGACACCCATAGCAAGCAGAACCCACTTTTTTTACAGATTCCTTGTATACACCCGTAAAAACAATATATATATATATATA